TGATGTTGAGATAGTGAAGGGGGTCAAACTCCGATGGGGGAAACAACACCAGTATCACGTTTGTAACGTTTACGTGCGGGTGGGTGTCGACTCCAAAACCAGTCTGCAGGGAGTCAACGTGATCATGGAAGACACGATATCACTAACCAAGATATTCCTACCCGACAACATACACTTCATGGGGGTGAAGTGCACCCCTGAACTATTATCAGAAAACCAGTTGGAAATTATCTCGTAATAGTATTATAGCAATGTCTTGGCTTTGCTCCAACACTACACTTAACGACTTAGGGGACACGGAGGGATTCGATCAATCTGGTGAGGAAGACACCTTATACATCCTGCACTTGAAAGACAACGTGTATAGGCGGGTGTCGTTATCAGATTTTAAAGAACCCAAATGGATAGTCAACTTAACCCTCACCTCACCTTATATCTCATTTAAGGAACACGATTATATCTCTGAAATTAAGAATATCGGTACCTTACCCTCGTGTTTCGTTCCTGGGCCTAATTCAAGTATTAGTCTAAGAACGCGACCCAATATGTTAATGGCATTCCGCGGGGGCGAGTTAAGACATAACTGCTCCGAGTATATAAGGGTTCCGTTTATGGTACCAGGCTCCACACTCATCATAGAATTCTATCTCCTGGAACATTCTGTTAGTAAAGAACACCAACTCTTACCCGGGGTGAAAGTACACTTTAATCCCAGGACCCGTGATGAACAATAAGCCTCGGCTCCTATTGGGATCGTGTGGATGCAGAGTCACCTATTAAATTCTCACCTATTCTCCTACCTGAGGGTTTACACCTTATAAGTCTCAAGTACGTTGATCGACTGTTAAATGAAACCCAACTAAAATATCTTTTGTAATATATATTATAGGATGGGGCTGTACCCAGTCGTAGAGGAAGTAGCAAAGACCCTGGAAACCGTAGACGGGTTCCGCTTGAGGCAGTTATGTGATGTAAAACGCCAACTAGAACAAGACCGCGACACGTGGAAAGCTCTATGTAAGAAGTACCATAGAGCTTTCAATGCCGTGGATGGGACTGATACTACCATCGTGGCCGCACCTATAGTGCTAGGTATTGAAATAACAGCTGGGGTGACAGGGGTGTTAGGGCTGGTGCTTAAATTTGCATCACGCAGACTGCATCGTAAAGCCTTGAAACACGACGAGATCAGGGTTCTGGCCGAAGCAAAGCTGAACACAGTAAGTGAGCGTATTTCCACGGCACTCACTGATAGTAAGATCTCAGATGAAGAGTTTCGTTCAATCCTCTCTGAACTCACAAAATATAACAAAATGAAACAAGAGATTCGATCCAAGTCTCGTAAGTCTGCTGCTATCAGCGAGGACGAGAAAAAAAAGTACATAGAACAGGGGATACAAAAAGCCTGGCAAGCCTTTATTATGAACACCAAAGAGATCATAGGCGATTCACATTAAACTGTTTCATCGAGGTCAACGTGACATAGTCTCACAGTAGTGTCATAGCGACACGTGGAGCTATTATAGGTGGAGCCCAGCTTTGGATGATACAATCCCAGGATAGACCCGTTAAACTGACCTACTTCAGCTAAGTCCGCGGTAGCTCAGTCGGTTGAGTGGTGCGGCCCATTATGTATAGTCTGCGCAAGCTGTACATGTGGGTTCGTATCCCGCCGTCACAACTTTGTGTGATGTGAGGTTCTCTCACAGTGAGAGACACAATTCCCCTTGGGAGGAAGCGCAATACATTTCTATTTCTCCCTTGGGGAATTGTGGCTGCCGGGGACATTTTACTACTTTTGAAAAGTAGCAGACGCAATGATAGCAAGAGCTAAGGGCCCGACCAAAGCCTTATTTGGGAAATAAGGCTTTCCAGAGGCTTTTGTTGGACTTGGTCCCGGACAATCATTGTATATACTACTTCACTGCACACCAGTTCCAGTTAAATGTCTTTGGGGTATACACACCCATCTGCTATATGAGTTTCGAGAATTTTGAAAGTCGCTTTACCATCTTATTCTACCGGGTACCCATTCACTGGCGGGTAACCAAAGTCATAATTGAACACAGTATCCTGCCCGGGCAGACACACATGTAGATCAACCAAAGAAAATAGAAGGGGTCATTGAGTTGTTGAACTCTCTCCCATCCACCTACACTAAAAGAGTGAGAGAATGAATATTGCCTACTGCCGCATCAGCGGTCTTGCAGCTATTAGCGGTGACCGCCCTCAAAGACCAACGTTTCTTAATGTCGCCTGATTTTTACTTCGCTTGACAATGGCCACATACAATGTTCTGGTCGTCTCGGTGCGTGAGACCACTTAGCTATGTCAGTCGTCAGACCACTTAGATAATTTCTCTGGTTCAACCCTGCCAGAACCCAAGTCACTCAAACATGATCTTTTTAATTAACTTTAGTTTTCTTACTCAGAACCGCGTTTTTCTTCAACGACACTTGACTGGCAGACATATGGTCAGTTAACATACCTATAACTTTACCCGTGCAAATCCGGGTTAGAATTGATCTTCAGCAACCGATGTTTGCCATAAGAGGAGACTAATGACATCGGGTGGATATGCTCGCTGACGTCGTTGATACATATGATCGTGTCCCAGTTGCGTATATCGATGCTCATGATGCTGGTCGCTAGATTGTCTTGACCAGACTCGATTATTTACAGAATGCCGCCAGAATATTTTACATTTGCGGGACTATTTCTGCGGCGATAAACAACAAGCCAACCAACCAATCTGATTCCTTATCATAATCTGTGGTTAACCATTATGTAGACTAACCCACTACGTCATGTATGTAAGTGTGTATTGTAGACTGATCCACTACGTAATTTATGTAAGTGTGTACTGTGGATTGACCCACTACGTCATGTTTATAAGTGTGTCCTGTAGACAGACCAACTACGTCATGTATATAATGGTGTACACTAGACTGACCCACTACGTCATGTATGTAATTGTGTACTGTAGACTGACCCACTACGTCATGTATGTAAGTGTGTACTGTAAACTTACCCACTACGTCATGTATATAAGTGTGTACTGTAGACTGACCAACTACGTCATGTATGTAAGTGTGTACTGTTGACTGACCCACTACGTCATGTATGTAATCGTGTACTGTAGACTGACCCACTACGTCATATATGTAAGTGTGTACTGTAGACTGACCCACTACGTCATGTATGTAGGTGTGTACTGTAGACTGACCCACTACGTCATGTATGTTAGTGTGTACTGTAGACTGACCCACTACGTCATGTATGTCAGTGTGTACTGTAGACTGACCCGCTACGTCATGTATGTTAGTGTGTACTGTAAACTGACCCACTACGTCATGTATATAAGTGTGTACTGTAGACTGACCAACTACGTCATGTATGTAAGTGTGTACTGTAGACTGACCCACTACGTCATGTATGTAAGTGTGTACTGTAGACTGACTCATTATGTCATGTATGTAAGTGTGTACTGTAAACTGACCCACTACATCATGTATGTAAGTGTGTACTGTAGACTGACCCACTACGTCATGTATGTTAGTGTGTACTTTAGACTGACCTACTACGTCATGTATGTAAGTGTGTACTGTAGACTGACCCACTTCGTCATGTATGTTGGTGTGTACTGTAGACTGACCCACTACGTGTCATGTATGTAAATGTGTACTGTAGACTGACCCACTACGTCATGTATGTTAGTGCGTACTGTAGACTGACCCACTACGTCATGTATGTAAGTGTGTACTGTAGACTGACACACTACGTCATGTATGTCAGTGTGTACTGTAGACTGACCCACTATGTCATGTATGTAAGTGTGTACTGTAGACTGACCCACTACGTCATGTATGTAAGTGTGTACTGTAGACTGACCCACTACGTCATGTATGTAAGTGTGTACTGTAGACTGACCAACTACGTCATGTATGTAAATGTGTACTGTAGACTGACCCACTACGTCATGTATGTAAGTGTGTACTGTAGACTGACCAACTACGTCATGTATGTAAGTGTGTGCTGTTGACTGACCCACTACGGCATGTAAGTAAGTGTGTACTGTAGACTGACCCACTACATCATGTATGTAAGTTTGAACTGTAGACTGACTCACTACGTCATCCTTGTAAGTGTGTACTGTAGACTGACCCACCTCGTCATGTAGGTAAGTGTTCTGTAGACTCACCCACTATGTGATGTATCTGTTCCTGGGTGAAGACAATGAATTGAATGGAATAAAATTAACTAAAAGTGATAAAAGATGTCATGTGGAATGTGATATATTAGGATAAGAAATATGGTATAACAAGAAGACAAAGTCATCAATATAATGACAAAATACTCTTCATGAATATGTCCACTGGTGATGACTTTGTCAAATGTTTCCGTGTGTATATCAATGAGTAAGTGAGTGAGTGAGTGAGGTTACTTTTATGCTCAGCAATATTCCAGCTATATGGCAGCGGTCCGTAAATAATCGAATATGGACCAGACAATCCAGTGATCAACAGCATCAGCATCGATCTACGCAATTGGGATACAATTAGAAGTGTCGACCAAGTCACTGACTATATTACAAACTGGAAGAGAGAACTGAAAGGTTTTTAAGTTCTGCACCGTAAAAGAGCATTACCACCAATTTCAGTCGAAGTCAAACCTGTCGCCATGGAAACGCAAAAACATATTTTATTTAGGAAATACCAAAACTACCAAAAGGCACTAGTACACCACCATACCTATCGATGTGCCAAGTTTGGTGAAGACATATTGAACGGTTTTTAAGTTCAGCTCCGGGAAAGGCAAATGTGCACGGACGGACGGAAGGACGGACGGACGGAGTCCATGTAAATATCCCCGGAAACGCATTGCGGGGAATAGGAAAGGACATTATGAGTTTGTCATACGTATAATTATGCATCCAACTGCATATTATTATTCTGACTGGGATATTTTGACATGATATAATAATGACAGACAGTCACACGGACAGACAGATGGTGTTTTATTTTGTATAAAGGCTTCAAGACCCATGGTACAAAGTCTGTTTGCAGCTTGCATAAGGAATGAAGTGGCAGTTACAGTAACATACAGTAAGAAAATACCCGTTACGGAACAGGTTACAATTTGCAATTCCATTAACATCTGGAGATATGCGGAAACGTCTTAAGTGAACATTAATGTTTAAAGTGTCATTAATAATTCATCCTCATTTCGTGACACACGACATGCACTTCATCTTCAAAAGCACCATTGTGATTGCATAGAATAACTTCATCAGTGTAAGTGGTAAAACTGCTTGGAACTAACTATATACGTCGATTATTACTGCCACCCCTAAACTTTGTTAACAACCATCTATATTGAAAATCTATGTTAAATAGAGAATATTTTATCACAGGTAAATTAGATTTGGTTTAGATATATAAATGGCAATCAAATGAAATATATAGATCCTACGTAGTCCCAGAAAAAAACTCTTACTGAACCTCTCAACAGTTTTACTTTTGGGCCACCTACAGCTGACATAAAACTAAAGGCAGGCACACCAAAACCAAATCGAGAAAGTAGACTATAGTTGTCACAGGTCCGCCTAGATGTTTTGATATTTATAAACTCACATTAATAAGAATGTCAAAATCACTACTGTCCTACAAAGAACAGTACTACATTACTGTATCTAGCATCTCGGTGGACTTCGATAAAATATTTTTGAATCCCCCAGTTTACATAATTCAGGCAACACCAAAACCTAATCGATAAAGCAAATATACAACAGAATTGTTCAGGTGGACCATTTCCCTGTGCACGGTAAACAGCAAAACCTGTCAGGATTGATACCAATATTTTTTCCAGTGCATATTAAATAACATCAGCTAACACCTAGCATATCTTACACAATGAACATCAGACATGTTATCATATACATACAATATAGAAATATAGAAAGTCAATGCATGCATTTATTAGATAAGTCAACCAGTCCACTTGACATCGCAAAGTAGTTGAATACAAACAGTTCTCTAAAGCGGGATTCTGGTGATAATATATCCCCTAGTTAAACCTTGTAATTTACTAGAGAAGTAGACAGATCGGAGTCAAACACAACAGGGTTAGACTACAGGTATTGATTATCAACTCATGTCATACTGACCAAAAATAAAGCCTGCTATTTTAGAATTGGCGTGGAACTCTAAGAGTGGCACATCCATCTCTACACACCCCATTGTCAGAGTTAGACCCAGTGTTTCTATTAGACAGTAACTCACACACAACTTTCAATTTTCAATTTCATACACACATGTAAATGTACAGCGGGGGCCATTTTGTAATCAGCTCTGTGACATGGCAGGATGGTACATTTCACATTATTTGTGTCGATACATGGACCAAGAAAAAACACAAAGCACATCCTCTGTGGGGGATTTAAATTATTTCCAAACACAACAGGACTGATAGAATAAAGACACAGACAGTTTAGTAGCTACATTTCTTTCCTCGTTATAACACAAGTACCATGGCACATTTAAACTGGGACGTTATTTGTCTAACCTCTACATATGGGTATTTTAACTATTTATTTCACAATGTGAAAACAAAATATGTCAAGATATTCATGATTTGAAACAACTTTTTACTTAATCATCAACTCAGTTGTAAGTTGTGACATGTACCAGAAATGTATGAAATGTTTCATAAACTAATCAGTTATTATATAATAATAATCATAGCAATACTCCTGTGTGGATGTAAAATGCTGCTAGTACACAAATGAAAACTGCCCTGTAGAAAACCAACAGATTTAGCTAACCAGATCACATTGTTGTACACAACATACAACACATGAACAGGTAACTTCTATGTCCGCTTCTTTCAGTTCTGTTGTATTGAATTTGTCAGATATAGTTGATGTGTGATATGTACAAGTTTACACTGGGTCATGTGTAGTTTATTTCTTAGGCCAGGGCTTCATTAATGAGTGATTTCTTGATGTCAGACATGAGGATCTCCTCCCCACTGACCACCTTCATGTCTACTGTGAAGTAACGTGTCGGATCGACAGTAAATATGGGGAGAAGATCCTCCTTGAACTCCACATCAACTTTCCTTAAAACAACCGACCTGTCTACGTCAATAAACCCTATTCTACCCCTCCCGACATCCAACACAACGCCATAGTGGAGGGTGGCGTGTGTGTCGCGTGTGTAAGACATTGTGTTTCTGTAACACTTCCCGTCCTCCCCCGCCAGACACACCCTGGTACAGACACTCTTCTGGTGTGTGTCACAGCCCCCTACACGGACACACCAGGAGCGGCGCTGGTCACAAACAAAATAGCTCCCACTGTCTACCTGGCTCTCCTCCCCAACACCCACCTCCAGGACAGTCAACCAACACCTTACACCAAACACACGCTCCACAAACACCGTGGTGTTGGTCTCCCAGTATCGTGTTGTGTGGGGGACAGGGGTGACATTAGAGGGGGATGGAGGAAGGGGGATGGGGGTGGAGCTACACGTGCCGGACAATTCATGTAGTCTGCCACTGTCCGTGTATGGTTTATCGAGCGGAAAGTTGGCCAGCACACCGTCTGCAGAAACACGGCAGTAGCGTGGGTTGGCTCGACCAGCATCTAGTTGGAGCTTAATACCTGGAAATATACAATTGTTATTTTATTGAGCTTAGCAACTGTATTTCCTACAATATATCATTGTATTGAATGTCCCGTGTCAGTAATTCCAAAACAGCGCACTACATGTTCGGCTGCCATTTTCGTCCGTCTGTAAATACAACGATACTCGTGCCCTAGATAGTAATAATAACGACATGATACAATCCAGATTGGTATTAAATTGTTTGTCATACATTTCTACATGCATTGGTAAACACATAAACTCTGTCTGACATACTTTTTACAAAGTTACATTTGATCTTGTTTGCTGTGACTGCAATCAGAAAAAGACACCATGACAGCTTATTACGGAAATATTTCAGCATCCTATCACAATAAAACTGTCATCATGGGTATTCTAACCTCATGTTATACAACATAGTAAAGAGTGAGACAGGTAGTATTGCTGTTTGCCAATATTTTTACATTTGAGTGTTCAACAGACAGAACGTGAACCGGTAACTTCTACGTCCGCTTCAATCACTGAACACAGTTTCATGACACTCGCTGTGTGGGGAGGTTGTGTCGTGTCTCGAGGGAGACAGATATTTGTAAACGAACTGCGTATTAAACCGCTATGTTATTATTATTCTTAAGCAATTTGAAATACACTCATTCTAACAATAATCCACGATAATCACACCTGATATTTAATGATGATTTGCACTATGTTGAAACATACTATCATCTTGTTGATTGAAATAGAGTGACTCGACTTTTATTTATTCTCTAACGTTTTTCATACGGGGCAGTGCTTCGTATATGTTTAGATATATTGGATAATGAAATTTCAGGCCATCGTGAACCTATTCCATTTAACCCTTTTCATGAATGTCACAGATCGGCCTAGGTGTTAATGTACCTGGATAGAACAACGGCTAGGATCACATTGGAGACACACATTACTTGTGCTACCTGAATGTATGCAGAATGCATAAAGCATAACAATTGTCCACGCCACCATACATGTCTAACTGAATAGTAAAAGGGCTTGGGTATCAGTGTCGATCCGGGTTAGAATTGATCTTCAGTAAGATGCGACTTACGGGATCGCATGGTCAGGCTCGCTGACCTGGTGGACATATGCCATTGTATCTCATTTGCCTCAATTGATTTTCATGCTGTTGAACACTGGTCCAGAATTGATTATTTACAGACGGCGGTCATATAGCTGGAATATTGCTGAGTGAGGCATTAAAGAAAAAAGAAAAAAAATCAAAAATACAACGGCTTGGGTCTCACTGGAGTGTAATGCGTTCTATGCAATCAGATCTCTTCTAAATATACTAAACCTGCGCCTAGAGTAATAAGGTAATTGTAACAAATAAGGTTCTGAAAATAGTGAATGCTTATACATTATACAGTAATAACCCTTCGATGAGTCAACAGCAGAGCGACACCATAGCTGCTTAAACTGATCAATGAAAATGAATGGTACAGTATAGGGATACAGGCTACAGGTTGTTTGGCAAAACAGTGTTTGTAAATTCCCTTGAACTCTCCCACCTTGACCTAACGTAGCTGGACATGTTATTGTCATGAAGACATGATTACCTATAGTTTGGATCATATTCATATGTTTCAGTAGTTGAAGTATACATTGTTATGCAATTAGCTGAATAAATATTGCATCAATCTGGTACAATTGTAATTGTTTTTATACATTTATTATTATGGTGGAATAGTCTACCTGATGGAGGGGAGTGAGCTAGTAATTAAAAGCCATATGACTGGAACAGATTGTGTATTGGACGGGTAGTCAAATTGGGAGTAGTCTAAATAGGAGTGAACGTTCCTTAACTTAAGCATGTACATTTGCAGCAGCGTTCCATCTTCATCTTGGCAGTGTGATAATTGTGAAGTCAGCCTATCAGTTGCTGATGACACGAACTACAAATACATTGTAACTCCAAATAAGACCCCTGTTGATGTTTATATGCTGTGGTCCCGTCAGATGAACAATACTGACACGCCTAGAATTCACCACAAAAAAAAAAAAACTGCATAAAAGAATAGAGTTTACTTACAGGTAATGACTCTAGAACCTCTTTTCCCGCTGATGATGTGCATCGTGCCTGAATACCCTGAAACATAGTTTCCATAGTAACACATGGCTTTGTTTCTGTAGACTGATATCACATATACTCCACAGTTTAAAGTGTTAGCGAATCAGCGAGTTTTGATTATCGTCGCTTTGAACATTGTTGGGGTAGGATCACAGGAATATGACACATATAAGGGTCGCAACTCTACTCAAGCAGTGGAGGTGCTGTAGTCGACATTGGCAACCCATGTCAAAACAGAAAATTAGGAAACACAAAATTAAATGAACTGCACAGATCATATTGTCTTATACAGTGCAGTCAACTACATTTACTGTTTTATTCAATGTTTTCAACTCTGTTTCTTTTCACATTATCTCACACGCCAGAAGGTAGACACCATGGGTGTTAAATTGTTACATGCATCCCGAATAACACAAAAGTCTTTCTGAGTCCTTGCTACACTGTTACATGTCAGAGTACGCTTTTAACTACGTGATAGCTAACGTGATAATGCGTGATAATTCCAAAGTCGAAATAATTCCAATTGAAAATAACAGTTATAGAGCATCTGTTATCTGTCAATGGAATTAACTGATGACATCCTACGAAACTTCTGAAAATGTTAGTATCTGTAACCTTTACTTGGAGAAGATTCCAACAACTAAACAACAAATCCCCATGTACAAACCTTTCAGGTATAGACCACGCTCAGGTGACTCTGAAGGGATGATTGCTCCGATTATGAACTGAAAATGAACGATGAAAGATTGTCAGATTGTATTAGTGATATGCATAAATCTAAATGGAAAAGAAGAATTGAACTGAATCCCACTTCATTTATAATATGGAGCTTATATTCTGATTTCGGGGCATTTGTATGACATTCAGCGTACATGTTTAGCAGCTTCAAAAACGTCCTGTGATGTCAGCGGTTCAGGTGCGACTTCCTGTGACGCCAGCTGTTCAGGTCGGAGTCTTTGTGATCCCGATATCGGGGGACGGTTCCTGCTGAAACAAATATTTGAACTGAATTTCAAAACTTAAAGTCAATAACGTCTCATTAGTTCTCATTTTTATATCAACAACTGCTCTGATATTTCAAATGGAAGTAGAAAGATGATGTGGGTCATTCGACATTTGATCTGCTTTTCCCGACCTTTGTCCATTTATTATCTTGTACCTGTGAAACGATGAATGATCTCCCCAAGCTGATGCCACCGCCCTTCATGTACCTGAAACAACGATGATTGCATCATAAATATCAGAATATAACCTTCGACTTACACAGTAGCTGTGTATATTGAATGTATCTCACAATACAAATCATAAATGTGCTCAGTGTTAAGAGCCTCTAAAAAACTTTCTCAGTAACCTTTTTCATCAGTGTCTTAGATATATTCTTTTTACAAAAGCAGAACATTACCTTCCTGGTGTCTTCCTCTTTTACGGTCAATTGCATATTCCATTTTTGGAGTTCTGAAGAGGAAAATACAAACACATGTTGATTAGAATTTCGTCAAGTCAAATACAATACCATTTGATGAAGGCCACTAAACATGTAATTACAAGAGATTTCCAAAAACGATAAGCAATAATATTAAGACATGAAAGATATAATAACTTAACGTGATGTAAGAATTGCACACATTATCATGTAACTCATTTTCTTTTGCTTTTCGACTGTGAGAAGATATTCTCTTTGCTTGTGGGGAATGACACAGGAGTTGCTTTCAAACTAACGTCGATTGTCACTGCAGTAGGAACCCATAATATTAAAATAAAGTTGTAATTCATGCGAGGAATATGTAAATGTTTTCAATTTCCAGTTATATTTTATCTGTATGTAATGAACTCTTAGCAGAACTTTTAGAAGAGACTTCTTAAGATTAGGAAAAGTGCTTTGTATGTTACATTTTTCGAAAAGTCCAGTTACCCTGTAAAGTAGGTTGTTTATCTGGTATGTGATCCACGTTGAGGCTGGGGACAAGTCCACCAAATGTGTCGATGAGTTCCATAAGAGCTTTCTGACCTTGAAAGGTAAGAAGGATCTTCGCATCTTGTGTGTCATCTTCTGGAAGCTCCCTCTTCACATTGTCATCACATTTCGTCTGCAGTACATCTGTGAGAGTAATGAGCTCCTCTCGTCTTGTGGATTCAAGTGTTCTCTGGGTGTAGTCTATCGCCGATACTATTGAAGTATGGACGTTATGTAAGGTGTCACGTTTCTCTTGAACCATTTCGTTTGGGGCTTGGAGACTCACTTGAAGTTCTTCCATGAGTTGTTTCTGTCGATGAAGGAACTTTGCAGCAACACTTTTGCAGACTGCCGTCATGTCCTCTTTCAGCTTTCTCTGCGTCTCTGCAAGATCATTTTGGTGACTGGTGACACTTCCCATCCTGTCAGTGACATCTTTCAGTTTATGCTGCTGCTTCTGTACTTGCTCCTCCAGCTGACCTTTTGCTACGTCATAGGCCTGATTCAAGTCTTCATTCTTGTGCTTGTTGTGGGCCCCAAGTGCACATACAAGGCAGACTGCCTTCTTACACGTGTGGTCATACAGATGCAGTTTGTTGTCAGGGTGGTCACTGCAATTATGTTCCTTCAGCCACTGCTTCATGGGGATATTCTTTGACTGGTTGATGCCACTCACCCTATGGTTTTCATTCGGTTTCAGTTTGTCATGCATTTTATGACAGTCCGAACAGAGGCGTACATTACATTTATGACAGTACATCACAGCCGGTGTAGAATTATCTTCTTTGGTGTAGTTGCATGTCATCTCACCATCAACGTTTTCAGAGTAGACAGTTTCATTGCGTCTGACATGATCTACTGATGTCTGCGCCATGGTGAACTCCCGGCCACAGGAAGGACAGTGTATGCAGGTCTCTTCCGCCTGTGTAGCTTGGTGATCAAGGCATGGCTTGCAGGCAGAATGAAGGCATGGAAGAAGACGAAGCTGACTCTCATCACAACAGGACTGAGTTGAAAGCTGGCACACTGTCTCAGTGGAACCTATAAGCATAGAAATGACACGAAAGTTTTAAAAAAATATGGAAACTTATTTTGACATTTCCGCTCTCTCCTTTGTTTTAATTCATGTTCTATATACATGAAGGATTGTTCATCTGCTTAATGTACCTGCACGTTGGACTTGCTCTGTATTGTCCACCCTGTCTGGAGACTGTGACCTTGGAACACCCACTAGAGCATCGTATGCTTCCTGTTCTTCCAGCAGTGTCTGAAACCACAGATATCGCTGCATCTCATTTGTCGTTTTATTATTATGCTGTGCATGTAATTGTTCCTCTTTGTTTCAGACGTTGTCCAGATTAAGACTTACAACACATAGCATTACATCTACCCACCTTCTCCACGTTCTCACATTTTGCTTGAGACTGCTGCAACTCGTCATTTGACTTTGACAACGCTGTCTTCACTGAAACGACAAAAATGCGAGGATTGAACCAGATATCAGTTCTTCACATTACAGATATTGATTGTCATGTAAATATTGTCATCATATCTTCCCCAAATATGACAAACAGCAATATAACAGGTAGCACATCGACAATATAAACTATATTATCGAAATGGCTAATAACAATTATGTTAAACATTATTTACCATATTATATAGACGAAAAAAGGTAAATGATGACATCATAGTAAAGGTGACATCACGAGAGTCGGCCAGTGGCAAATCAGTATCCAGTATCAACATACAAACGATTAGGTTTGACATCGTCGTCGATGTATTCTTCTGACAACATATTCCCAGCGAAACAAATCTCTATTCACAAAAGCCAAGTCAGTTTGACTGTCATGTGGGTTATCACCGCACTTCATTACTCTAAACATCCAATAAAGATCATGGTCAAGAATTGGTTATAGCGTGGTGACATATTTGCTACGTCGCTAACGTCTTTCTGCCAGTGGTGAAAGTCAGGCAAAATCGTATTTTGTCGCTAAACATTTGACGTCATTCTAGCACAGGCCTTCTCACAATTCGCGATTGTGACTGGTCATGTCTCTGATTCGCTTGACCTGCGTTTTAGGATTGTGAGTTTCTCTCTGGGAGCACATATTTTGGCTTCTGAGTGCACACACTTCATAAGCTGCGTTCAGATACACTACTTTGATAAGGTAAATATACATGTCAACTACATGTACATCCAGGTAATTATTTTTCATATCTGTTTGTTGGAACTATATATTATTATATATATTGTATATATATATATATTATATATCAGCTTACGATTTTCAATTTCCCCGTTCTTCTTTTCTATCTCTGTCATGTGTTCATCACCTTCTTTCTTCATTCTTTCCTCCAGTTCAGCGTGATCAGTGTTGTTTTGTTCAATTTGTTGCTCAAGTCCTTCTATTGCCTGAAAACAAACATGAAAGCATTGTAAGCAAAAAATGACTTCTTGTAAACAAACCACCTGACATTTTATCAGATTAGACGTCATAATATATAACCTTCAAAGTTGCTGACAGAGTATGTTTTAGGTTTACACAGTTGGGAAACACTAAACGTGTGTCCAGTCATAATCTTATCAATTATTCGCAAGACAAATGACATTTAAGCCTTATAAGAATGCCAAATTGCAATGTATCATGACAACTTACATCTTTCAAGTCAGCTATCTCTCCATCTTTTTTAGCAAGTTCCTTTTTGTACTGAGCTTCCAGTTTGTCCTTGTTAACATAGACGAGACCTGGGCTACCTGTAAAATAGAATATCCTGTGCTCACAAGGCCGGTTTACATGAGAGCACTTGGATCCAGAGAAGTGCAGTGATGGGTTGCCTACGTCTGGAGTCAATGACATCTCTACCATGGCCAACACAAAGTCAAGACCAGAATCTTACTGGGTATGTTTGGAACATTTCAGGACGTTGTTTACTTCAGAGAGTTACGCTGTACGGGGTCATGCTGACAAGGAACAAGCGCTCGATGGAGTGAAACAGACAGCCTGAAATACAGAAACAGTGTCTGATTCTGCCTGTGACATGGCATTTCAATCAGTCATCCCAGTGTGTAGTGGCTGCACATGATGCTGACATTATGACCTCTTCTGGTAGCTTCAGCCAGCGATTATGAAAAACTGCTTGATGCAGCCATTGAGGATGTTGGGCGGGTGCACTTGTGGCCCAGGGCAGGAAACCCGACTGGCATTGTCATTCTGTTGGGGTGGACTGTTTTCGCCTTGACAGAAGATCTTTGACATTTGTATTCTTGGTGTACATAAAGTGAAGCATCGCTAAAAAAACCAGATACAGCCAGCATTTTCAAGACCGTTGATGTGCTTTATCTCATTCTTTGACGATTGCAGGAGTGAGTGAATGATTGAGTAGGTTTTACGCCGCTTTTAGCAATATTCCATCAATATCACGACGGGGGACATCAGAAATGGGCTTCACACATTGTACCCATGTGGTGAATCGAACCCGGGTCTTCGGCGTGACGAGCGAGAGTTTTAACCACTAGGCTACCCCACCGCCCCAACAATGCAGGAAGACAAAAGGAACGGTTGGTATGCATTATAGTCATACGTAGTGAACCGCCTCTACAAGCAGGTCAGCAACGCCAATTAATGAGCAACCGCCTATCCCAGGAAACACACTGATCAACAGTGAAGAGGTAATCGTTGGTGGATCGCAGGTCACAAACGGGTTGTTGCATGCAGGATTTCACCAGTATTTATATAGAAGGCAGGCGGCGCGACAAAAGACGAAGGGAAATGCTTGTGGATGACACGTTGATGCCCAAATGCTCAAATGTATAGAAGAAGCAGTCAATAATGAAGCCGCCATTGTCACCAATCCGCGTGTATTTAGGACAGGGCAGTGATCATAACAACAGGTCTTAAGTTACAGACTGACAGACCAAAGGTATCCATTTTATGCATATCACATGATACGTGTTTTGACTGTTGCTGTTGAGCCGACATGAAGAGGAGGGAAAGAACGTGACTGAAATTATTGTGATAACTCTGGATAAATATATATGGATGGAAGCATTTAGCAGAAATAGGCCTATGTAATGAAGTAAACTACAATAATTTCACAACCATATTAATGCACAAGTGTTGAGTATATATAATTATGCAGTTATCAAAATCCATGTCTTACTTCACTTGATGAGCTGGCAATTCCTTGTCTATGATGCTTAAATGATTAGCAAATATTTGTATGTACATCAAGAAACCCTTAGAAGGTTTGCCTACCTTCTTCATTTGAGGTCTTATCAAGTATGTCCTTGATGAAAGGCTGTGTAGTATCGAGGACAGCACAGAGTGTCTTGTAACCTTCTACTCCCTTCTTTTTAAGCGTCTCCAACACCATCTCACATTTCTCTGTCCCAGCGTATTTACACCTGCCATAGTCTGTCTGTGTGAAGATACATTTCTCATACAAGGCATCCAGCACAGGGTCGACCTGAAGGTTCTCCTTCAGAAATGTGTGGTTCTTCTGAAGGACAGCAACGTGGGAAAGGTTCATTCTGTTATGTCAGGTGGTTTGTATGTCTGTAACAGGAAAATCACATGTCAGTAACACATATGTGGAACATGCAGTGAAGCAACCGATCCAATATTCGTTGAGTTTGAGTGAAGTGAAACACACCGGCACCATGTTGGATTGAAACGTTGCCACAGGCTCCATTGAAAGTCTGTCTTCCACATGCACTAAGCTGTTGTGTTTGGGTGTTTGAATACAACATGGTGCTGGTGTGTTTCAGCGACCTTGATCTTCGCTGTTTTTGACAATGTTTCATTGCACTCAAACTCAACGAATATTGAATCTGTTGCTTCACTGCATGTTCCAACATGTCGTTTAAAGTGCCCCTTAAGCACAAAAGAAAGTTGCGTTTTCTTACAGTATAAATGACCTCACCATGTTTAAGTTTACATTTGACTATCAAATTTAAGGGTGTTCCCATACGTTTTTGGTTGTAGTATACATGACGTGCCCAATTCCCGGAATTGCTCATTTCCAGGGCTGGGGTAAGAGTGTTGCCCAATCCCCGTTAATGGCCGGTGGCTTGCTTAATCTCGCTGATTGGCGAGTTAATTCTAGGGAGTGAGCAGTGTTAACGTCTGCTCAATCCTTGGGATTGGATGATAACATACACAAGCTGATTGAATGTGTTGTTGTACTGTGAACTTTGTCCACCACAATTTTGACAGGGGAAGAACTTTGCCCACCACAATTTTGACAGGGGAAGAACTTTGCCCACCATAATTTTGACAGGGGAAGAACTTTGCCCACCACAATTTTGACGGGAAGAACTTTGCCCACCACAATTATGACTGGGGAAAAGACATTGCCCACCATAATAATACAACATTATATAATCTACTTATGCATTATTTTATTGAACTACGGGAAAGACGTTCGCCCGTATCCCCCCCTTAAATTTCATTCTAGTCAAATCATATCACCTGAATATATATTCCTCATCTGATAAGGATGAATTTTAAAATGTTTCTTTAAATGTATCTGAACATACTGAAAGACATATCTAACTTCTAAAATTGCTACTCAAAGAATTTGTTTCTCATCGTTAAAATTTAGGGGGGATACGGGCTGAAGTCTCACCGAACTACACATATGTTATAGCACATTGGTAGAGTGAAAAATGAATAGGGTTTATTGAACTACACAGAAACAGCATACAATATAGCACATTGATAGAGTACAACTTGAATAGCACTTTAACATTTTTAGTATATTCTAATACACCTAACCATTTTAGTTCAGTCTAATAGAGGCACCAGCTATCAGGTAAGTATTAACTGTAATTAGAAAATAAATACAAAGCAGCCGAGAAGCTTGGGTGAGATGCAATTCATGTTTGATCTCTTTTAACACAACATAACCTGGGCAGGGTATTAAGGTGGGTGAGAAGAAAGGTAAGTATTTATGTTTGATCTCTTGTAACACAACATAACCTGGGCAGGGTATTACGGTGGGTGAGAAGAAAGGTAAGCATTAATATTTGATCTCTTGTAACACAACATAACCTGGGCAGGGTATTAAGGTGGGCGAGAAGAAAGGTAAGTATTAATATTTGATCTCTTGTAACACAACATAAACTGGGCAGGTATTAAGGTGGGCGAGAAGAAAGGTTAGTATTAATATTTGATCTCTTGTAACACAACATAACCTGAGCAGGGTATTAAGGTGGGCGAGAAGAAAGGTTAGTATTAATATTTGATCTCTTGTAACACAACATAACCTGAGCAGGGTATTAAGGTGGGCGAGAAGAAAGGTAAGTATTAATGTTTGATCTCTTGTAACACAACATTACCTGGGCAGGTATTAAGGTGGGCGAGAAGAAAGGTAAGTATTAATATTTGATCTCTTGTAACACAACATAACCTGAGCAGGGTATTAAGGTGGGCGAGAAGAAAGGTAAGTATTAATGTTTGATCTCTTGTAACACAACATAAACTGGGCAGGGTATTACAGTGGGTGAGAAGAAAGGTAAGTATTAATATTTGATCTCTTGTAACACAACATAACCTGGGCAGGGTATTAAGGTGGGCGAAAAGAAAGGTAAGTATTAATGTTTGATCTCTTGTAACACAACATAACCTGGGCAGGGTATTGAGGTGGGCGAGAAGAAAGGTAAGTATTAATATTTGATCTCTTGTAACACAACATAACCTGAGCAGGGTATTAAGGTGGGCGAGGAGAAAGGTAAGTATTAATGATTGATCTCTTGTAACACAACATAACCTGAGCAGGGTATTACGGTGGGCGAGAAGAAAGGTAAGTATTAATGTTTGATCTCTTGTAACACAACATAACCTGGGCAGGGTATTACGGTGGGTGAGAAGAAAGGTAAGTATTAATGTTTGATCTCTTGTAACACAACATAACCTGGGCAGGTATTAAGGTGGGCGAGAAGAAAGGTAAGTATTAATGTTTGATCTCTTGTAACACAACATAACCTGGGCAGGGTATTACGGTGGGTGAGAAGAAAGGTAAGTATTAATGTTTGATCTCTTGTAACACAACATAACCTGGGCAGGGTATTAAGGTGGGTGAGAAGAAAGGTAAGTATTAATATTTGATCTCTTGTAACACAACATTACCTGGGCAGGTATTAAGGTGGGCGAGAAGAAAGGTAAGTATTAATATTTGATCTCTTGTAACACAACATAACCTCAGCAGGGTATTAAGGTGGGCGAGAAGAAAGGTAAGTATTAATGATTGATCTCTTGTAACACAACATAACCTGAGCAGGGTATTACGGTGGGCGAGAAGAAAGGTAAGTATTAATATTTGATCTCTTGTAACACAACATAACCTGAGCAGGGTATTAAGGTGGGCGAGAAGAAAGGTAAGTATTAATGATTGATCTCTTGTAACACAACA